AGCCTAAAATTGTTTAAGTTCGATTCATTTAGAGTTCAATCTGAATCCAAAATGAATCAAACTAGAATTGTTGACTCGATTATTAGCTCTACGGGGACAGAGATAGATGGGAGAGGAGAAATTGGAATCTGGATTGTGAATTGCTCAGGACTTCACTCTTGGGCATGGAACTGAGTTATCAATAGGAAATGACACTAAGCACAATGACATTCTGATTAATTTAAAAGCAAGTTCTTGCAGTCACATCAAGTCCCTCTCTCATGAGAGTTGGAAGTTAAGGATCATAGCCCATGAAAATGTGTGCTGCAAGTTGTGCTAGTTTTCTTGGAATGCATGCAATGCTTGTACAATTATAGAAATTATTATTATTAAAGCAAAAGCCTGCCAAATTTTGCAAATGAGTCAGTATATCATTGGGGCACCGTGTCTATCTTCTGGTTAATTGCAAAACCTTAATGCAAGTTGTACATTAAATGAGAAAAATATATGTATGCAGCCCATCAAAGTGTAGAATATCTTCGATACCAAGGCAAGGATGTCGGGGTTGTGTTGATTTTTTTTTTTTTAATATTGGTTATTGCGTTCTGATTACGGTATAATCTATTTTCAAATTCTAAATAAATTGCATGAATTTGGTGGGAGATCATTGCATCTTGCTTTATTTCTATTGTTTTTTATTTTGATTTTTGTTATTTTTATAGATTATAATGTAATATTGTTTGATTACTCTCGACTAACTGTTTTTAATGACTTAAACTTTAAAGTAGCGATAACGTGGCTAATTTATGCCAAAGTAGCAATAATGATTTTAATTTATTGAAAGTAGCGATAATGCAGAGCTAATTTATGCCTTAAAAACATATATTTTCTCTTATATTTATGGAAAAAATGATTTCCCTTCTTATTTTCTTTCAAAATTGTAAGTGTTGTGTAATCTTAGTTACGTTCTCGTCTCTAATTAATAATAAAATTAATTAGAAAAGGAAAAAGGAAAAGAAAAAAGAATGAACACACACGCACACACTCTTTCGATCTTATCAAACGTTAGAATTTACCAATTCAACTCAATAAAACTTACCCATATTTTTCTTTTATCAAAATAACTTACTCATAAAGCTGAAACAATGAAATTTTGATAAACATGAGAGTAGACTTACATGTATAATTGAGAATTCTCAAGACAATTTTAAATCTGATTCAAAATCAATACAAAATTTTTAGATACCGATGTAATCTTAAAAAGTTCAAATCTGGATTGTTCATGTCATTACGAACGACGCTTTCTCAATAAGATAGAACCAGGATTTCAAGCACTTGTATAGTTATTGAGTTGGACTTCCAACATGTTCATAGGATTGCTAGTTGGTATACATATATCTAAGTAAATTGCAAAATGCATGACATTGGCAACATTAATCTTCACTTTAGGTTATGTAACTGAGTTATCTATAGGACATGACACAAAGCACAACATCCTGGGGGGTTAATGAAATAGAAAGTTCTTTCACTCAGACCAAGTCCTCTTCCGAGTGTTGAAAATTATGATAATTTGGAGGACCATAGACCTTGAATATGTGTGCTGCAAGTTGTGGAGTTACCTTGGAATGCATGCCATGCTCATACAATAATAGAAATGATTATTATTAAAGCAAAAGTCTTCCTTTTTTTTTTGCAAATGAGTCAGTATATATCATTGGGTCATCTTGTCTATATTTGGTTAATTGCAAAACCTTAATGCAAGTTGCACATTAAAATGAGAAAAAAATATGAATTGCAGCCTATCAAATTGTAGAAAACCTTTGACACCAAGGCAAGAATGTCCAAGTTGTTTTGATTTTATTTGCAATTAATGTTGACTGTTGAGTTATGATTACGGTATAATCATGTTTTATATTTTGAAACAAGTTGTTCGAATTTGGTGAACTAACATTGCATCTTACCTTGATCCTATTTTTTAAATCTACTTTCTATTATTTTTATCGATTTAAGTTGTTCGATTTAGTGGATGATCATTGCATCTTGCCTTATTCCTATTTTTTACTATTCCTTTTGATTTATTATGTAGATAGAATTTTTAAGTATTCTCAACCAACTATACTGAGTAACTTAAATTCTAAAGCAATGACAACATGGTTATTTTACACGAAAAAGTTGATAACACCGCTAATTTATGTGAAAGTAGTAATAACACAACTAATTTATGCAAAAAATTAACAACACATCTAATTTGCGCATTAATAGATTTCCTCTTATATTTGTGGCAAATGATTTTCCTTCTTATTTACTTTCTTTCAATTTGTAAGTATCGTGTGTAAGGTTGTGTACACTTCTAATATCTATAATAAGTAATAAAATCAATGGGAAAAGTGGAAAAGTAATATAATAAGCTTGTGTACACATTCTTGGAGAGGCAAGAGGTTCATTGTAAAAAAGCTAACAACTTGAATTTGCATGCCCTTCTAAAAAGTCAGAATTTACCAACTCAACTCAAATTTAAACACTAAAAATTTTATAACCATGAGAATAGACCAAGCTACATGCTTGATGGAGGATACTTTTAAAGACGGATTTTTAATCTAATTCAAAAATCAATGTAAAATTATTGAACGCAAATTTAATCTTAACATCTTCGTGTTATAATCAGATTGGTCTGTCCAACTCATTTAATAATAGATCAAGCTATACAAGACTTCCACCCGCCTACACACGTGTAAATAAATCGAACATTAATCAAATCAACCTTATCATGGTTTAAAGGTTACATAATCTAAACACAATGCCCGACATTGCTGATCCTGGCCAGGTGGCCCATATCTGAAAATGTGAGTACCAATCTTCTCCACGAGTGCTGTCACTTTAAAGTTGTGGCAGATGAAGACCCTGAAATCCAAGCAATCAATCTCCATCACAAGTAGTCTCGGCTCCTCTCTCCCCATCTTATCTCTTCCTTAAATCTGTACCTATCATCTTCTCATAATTATGATCTTGCACTTTCTTCAAATATCTCTACGCTGAGATTTTGTTGTATCATACACGAGGGGTGTACTGAGAACCAGCGTGTGGGACACCTCATGGTTCTTAATTTATAATTTTTTAAAGTATAAATTATCATAGCGGTTAATCATCGAACCCTAATGAAGACTCTAAAATTCAAACTTTCAACTTCTAGATGAAGAGTAAAGCCGGTACCACCACTAGACCACTCTACTCCGTGGTGGTGGGGGACTTGGACGGACTTGATAACAAAAAAATGTTTTAATCTTTCAAAGAATAGAGCCAATGTGAAGCATCAAGACTCTTAGCTTTCATTGGATAAAAGCTAGATGATACCTAACCCAACTAAATTAATAGGATTATGTAGGCAGGCCATAAGAGACAATGTCTCTGATACTCTCCTCTGATTTTAGTTGGGGTTTGGATCTTATCATGTCGTTATGCTTTGTTGGATTGGGTTAATCTAAATTGTCTTCCAGTTGTGTAATGTCGTGTGTGGAAATATTCTTTATTTATTTATAAATAGAGCAATATTATAAGAATTTAATATAAAAAGATTACTTATTCTCATTGCTAAATTAGTAGTAGAGAGTATTATTCCCATTTTGTATATTCAAATTGTAAACCACATTTAATGAGCCCAAATTTGACTTTGTAAATCCGATAGGAATTTGAACTGATAATTCGACAGATTTTATTTTTATGGTTCATATTCGAATCTGTTAACAATTCGAAATTCGATTCGATCTAAATAACTTAATTTAACAAATTATATCTAAATTTTAACTAAATTTATTCAAATAAGTACTTAATTTCTTTGCTATTTATACACAAATTAATAAGATTTTGGATCGGATCATAATCAGATCGGATATATATATATATATATATGTGTGTGTGTGTGTGTGTCCAAATCTAAATCCGTAAAATATAAGATTTCATATTCGAATTCTAATTTGAATGATCGATAAAAAAATATCAATTCATATCTAACTAATTGAGTTCAAATCAAAATTGGATCCATTGATAGGCCTACCTGTCAAATAATAGATTAAGTTTAAAAATCGTCAATAATCATTTTTCCACCTAAGTTTACAATATCCCAAAAAAAAGAAAAAATTAATTACCGCATCAAATTTAATCTAAGGTCGATGTTATTAATTTTTAGATATTTATTATAAGATTAAAAAAATAAAAATTATATATTTTATTGAATAAAAATTAAAATTACGACATTAAAAATTTAATTTTCGATACTTAACCTAGATGTTGAGATTAATGATTGACTTAATAATCACAATCCTTATTATTAGACCCAAAAAATTATGAATTTGAATTTCATCGTGTTAAATGAGATTATTATTTTATGGTGGTGTATTAGGCTAATTTGTCATTTTAAAGTTGGAGATTTAAGTTTTAGAGTCATATTAGTACTCGATAGTTGACCGTTTTACTAGATAGTTGATCGTTTTATTAATCTTATTAAGTTCGTACTCAAAAAAAAAAAAAACAAGTACGATCAAAAAAACCCGGTGATCCCATAAATGAGAACCTATTGGAGGTGGTTACCGGATATTTTCCATTTACCCGACCCTTTTTTCCAATAGAAAAGGAAAAATGTTTGAGGCATCCCATCTCCAACACCCAAGTTGGGGGAGAGTGTGGATAAAACGTGGATACCAGAAGCCNTTTTTTCCAATAGAAAAGGAAAAATGTTTGAGGCATCCAATCTCCAACACCCAAGTTGGGGGAGAGTGTGGATAAAACGTGGATACCAGAAGCCAATCAGAACTCAAAGAAATCTAAAGCTCCCTCCACCCCCATATATCTTTGGCCCCAACCCATCACCCGGTCAATACTTTCCCACACCAACCCCACCTCCTCCTCGAACACCATCACCACAAGCTCTCATAGGCCTCTCCTCCTCCTCTCTCTTTCCCTCTCCAAAATTCTAGGGTTGGAGTTTGGGCATTGTATCACCTGAATTGTTTTCTCGTGCCTGAAAAATGGCTGTTTCGAGCGGGTTTGCAGGGGTCAATTTCGAGACTCTTCTCATCAGCAGCAGCGCAGCGACCGCCTCATCATCGTCGTTATCTACGCCGAATCAAATTTGGGTTTTCTGCAAACCAGCTCGAACCAGAAGAAACAGCCTGGTTAAGAAAAATGGTTGGGGTTCATCGTCAAACCCTGCGATCAGGTGCGAGATTGCTGCGTCGGATGTCTTGGTTCAGACCACTGACAATTCCAATTCGGCTTCTTCTTCCTCTTCTAGATCTTCCAGTCTCTCTGCTCTCGAACTGCTCAAGACATCTGCAGCTGACAGTATGGCCCAAATTTTGTTTTTTTTTCTCTTACATATTGAACTAGTTGTTTCGATTTCACTGGGTAAACTTCTATTTGATTCTAATAACGGGTTTTGTGTGTGACTTACTTTGGAATTTGCAATGCGATTTGAATTTAGTTCGTTCTTATTCTTTTGTGCTTTAAACACTTCATTTTACGCTATTTTTTGCTCAAGCGTTGACTGGTTCAGTTCATCATCTGATTGTTGATGATTTCTGTTAATACAACAGCAAAAAGATTGGGATATTTTTGGTTTGAAGGGACTATTAGAAGAAAATAACGAGCAAAGCAATGTGATTGGTTTCTTAATTAGATCGCGAGTGCTCTGTGATTTTGCAATCGGTTAATTCCTTGAATAATGATCCAGCACAGTTATGGCCTAAAATCTAATACTGCTCTGTCATGTAGATATTNGGATATTTTTGGTTTGAAGGGACTATTAGAAGAAAATAAGGAGCAAAGCAATGTGATTGGTTTCTTAATTAGATCGCGAGTGCTCTGTGATTTTGCAATCGGTTAATTCCTTGAACAATGATCCAGCACAGTTATGGCCTAAAATCTAATACTGCTCTGTCATGTAGATATTACGTTCTATGCTAGGTGGTTGCTTACATCAACATGTTTATGACATGGTGCCTTATTTGGTGTGAAAAATCGCTGTGAACTCTGGAATTTTCCTATCTCTGGGAATCTTTCTATATGTCTCACATGTGATACATGTGTCCTTTGACTAATTAATATGAGATAATTTGGTTTAGGTATTACTTTTTCAGGATTTGTTGTTATTTAACTTGGTAGCATGACATTAAATTTATGCATACACATGTGAAATCTTCCCAGTTTTTTTTCTAAGGTTTGTATTTGATGACATCAGGGTATACTAAGGAAAGGAGCAGCATTGTAGTCATTGGGCTTAGTGTGCACACTACACCTGTTGAAATGCGTGAAAAACTTGCCATTCCTGAAGCAGAATGGCCACGAGCTATTGGGGAGCTTTGCAGTTTAAACCATATAGAAGAAGCTGCTGTTCTTAGTACCTGCAACAGGATGGAGATATATGTTGTTGCTCTATCTCAGCACCGTGGAGTCAAAGAAGTGACTGAATGGATGTCAAAGGTAATGCTCACCAGACTACTGAAAAATTATCCACTTTTGTGGAATCAAATATTCTTCATCTGTAAAAGATAGCCCAGGGAGGCTTTCAGCGAAATGGTCTGACCAGGGCTATAGTTTGCTCATGTGTTTAGTTTGTGAAGTATTGAAATTATTCTTACTGTTCTGGATGGTAATTGCGATAAAAAACTTCCACCCTCCAACCAAAAAAAAAACTTCTACCTTCTGAATGGTTGGGCTTTTAGCTAAGCTTCATAGCTCCTCAATCGTGACTCCCTGCCGGGTTTCTTATATGGTCTTTGCATGGGAGATTTCCTGTAACAGATTGAAATAGCGATCTTCTGTCTGGTAAACTTACAACAACCACGGGATCAGAAAACTGGGCCGGGTGAACACCCAGCTTATCCCTCCGAAGTTTAAGTCAGTATAAGATTGGAAGCTTGAGCGCAATATATAATCTCTCTTGATTTAATGTTGCGTACTTTTGTTCATTTTTCTGAGGAGTATTTATACCTGAAATAGCAATGAGTGCAAAGGCTTTAAGTCTCATCTTAACATTTAATGTCAGACACTCTTACCCATGTACAATGAGTGTTCTCTACTCAGATCTCCACACCTTTAATGCTTGGATGATAGGACCAGTGCTCGGGGCCACGCCGAGCAGTTATTGCCATCCTCGAGAAACCCAAGCACCTATGGTCGGCGCATGACATCTATCCCTGAGCGTTTAATGCTCGAGAAACAGTACCTCGGGGTACATCGAGGCAAAATACTCGGCGTAATAGTCATTAATGCGAAGCAATCATGACTGTAGGCTTAGGTCTTTGAGGATGCAGGCGCTCATTAATAACCTTGTCTGAGCCACTCACATCGTCATAAATGTGCTGTCAAGTCGCATTAATTGCTAGTGTTAGTTTATGTACGCGGCTCCTTCAAGCCATCCTTCCTCGGCTCCACTCCTCGGCGTCTCTTGAGGTCCATAATGGCTACATATTTTACACGTGTCGTTTAGGGGCTGCTGAGCCGTCTAAAGTCCCGGCAGTCTTCATGTGCATTCATAATTAGACTTCTCTAATATGATTGGGGGATCAAACATTTAACTGTGAATAAATGGATGCTGATTATCATTTCTTAAGTTTTGTTCCTTTTCTTGGCAGACAAGTGGGATCCCTGTTTCAGAGATTTGTGAGCACCGATTTTTGCTCTACAACAAAGATGCTACACAGCACCTCTTTGAGGTATCAGCAGGGCTAGACTCCTTGGTATTAGGGGAAGGTCAAATCCTTGCTCAGGTCAAACAAGTTGTCAAGGTTGGGCAAGGAGTTGTAGGCTTTGGGAGGAACATCAGCGGGCTGTTCAAGCATGCAATCACCGTTGGAAAGCGGGTCAGAACTGAGACAAACATTGCAGCAGGGGCAGTTTCTGTTAGCTCTGCTGCTGTGGAACTTGCCTTGATGAAGCTTCCAGAATCTTCGCATGCCACTGCTAGGATGTTGGTGATTGGAGCAGGCAAGATGGGGAAGCTAGTGATCAAACACTTGGTGGCCAAAGGATCCACAAAGATGGTTGTTGTAAACAGATCGGAGGAGAGAGTTGCAGCTATCCGTGAGGAGCTAAGCGATGTTGAGATAGTCTACAAACCCCTTGCAGAAATGCTAGCATGTGCTGCTGAAGCAGATGTAATTTTCACCAGTACTGCATCAGAAACCCTATTGTTCTCAAAAGAACATGTAATGGTCCTTCCGCCTGTTGGTTCAGATGTTGGGGGTTTGAGGCTTTTCATTGATATCTCCGTGCCTAGGAATGTGGGGTCTTGCGTTGACAATCTTGAGACGGCACGAGTTTATAATGTGGATGATCTTAAAGAGGTTGTGGCTGCCAATAAAGAGGATCGGCTGCGGAAAGCAATGGAAGCTCAAACAATAATTACTGAGGAATCAACACAATTTGAAGCTTGGAGAGATTCACTGGAGACAGTTCCCACTATCAAGAAACTAAGGGCGTATGCTGAAAGAATCAGAGTTGCAGAACTGGAAAAATGCTTGTCAAAAATGGGTGATGATATCTCAAAGAAAACAAGAAGGGCTGTGGACGATCTTAGCCGGGGAATAGTAAACAAGCTCCTTCATGGTCCAATGCAGCACCTGAGATGTGATGGGAGTGACAGCAGGACTTTGAGTGAGACCCTTGAGAATATGCATGCTCTAAACAGAATGTTCAGCCTTGAGACTGAGATATCAGTGTTGGAACAGAAGGTTCGAGCTAAGGTGGAGCAAACCCAGAAGTAAGCCCCCATGCAAAAATTCTCTCACTACGCTCCTTTCACTTCTTGAATCTGAATAAGAGGAAAATTTCCTCACATTGTCCTTGGTTTTGTTACTTGTAAAGCTTTCATCGAACAGATAAACGGAATAAGGTCCCGTTTGGGGATCTTTCCTGTTCATTAAGTGTTGTCCGAAACTTGAGTCACTTTTATTCAAAATTTCCCTGGATGTCTGCAGTGTAATCGGCCATTCGGATTGTAGAATATATGGGGTAGAATGAGGTGAGCCTGATCCATGTAACGGACCCAGTTTCTGCGGCTGTTTGTGAAACCCTGATAGTCCTTGTAATTAATATACTGATTATTTTGACATTTTGATTGTTTTCAATGTCTGACTTTGTTGCGAAATTGTTCTATCTCAATTTGTTCTAATGATATGTACGTTTTATCATTAGGCACAAGCATCTGATGTTTGGCAATTAGAAAGCTGTAGATAACTTGTGGTATCCCCCTTGGTTACTAATCTGGAGTGAATGCATGAATTAATAATTTGAGAGGGGATTAAAGGACCGCCTTACTTATAAAGGGGTTTTTCTTATGAAAGGAAAAGAATTCCCCTTGACGGTGAACTTGTTTCTCAGGACCGCCTAAGGAGATTCCTGGTGTTAAACAATTATGTAACCTAATGAAGGACTATGACTGAAAATCCTCAAGTCCTTTTAAGTCCTCTTGGCAAACAATGACCAATTTTAGATCATAAGGAAAAATCAACTCTATGTTAAAAAGGTACTTTGCATAATGTCTAGTTCATTGGGCACTAAGTTGATTGGATCAATAGAAGGTGCGTGCAAGCCGTGGTGAACTGAGAGATGCCACGCAAGGTGCAGGAACTAAGATTCTTCATTAAATTAGTCATATTTAAAAATCTTTATTTATATAGCTGTATATATAATATGTTAGATGGTTCATCAAGGGCTTCTCGGGTGATTGGAAGGGCTATATAAGAAAATATGTAGTATCTTGAGCTGGCTTAAGAGCTGCTTTATAGATCTGCATGATTCGGTGGGAATTTGTTCAAGATTATAAGAAAACAAGTTATTACTTTTCCAAGTAAAAAAAGCAAAAGAAAACTTTGCAGTAATGTAGAAAATCTGTTTATCTCAAAATGAAGGTAGTTTTGGTGAATCTTTGTACACGCTTTTATTTAATTTTCATACCACAAACAGGAATAATGTTACATTACATACATGAAACAACTTGTTCTAAAATTACTGATGTCACAGAGTGCCTTGACCCATGGAATGGAATTGTTGGTTGATGAAAGTTGCATCATCATGGCATTGGGCATAAGATTGCCAGATGCATAGATTAGCTCATTCTCTTACTGTCGGTCAACATAAGTGATGCACGAGATTTACATCCCTGTATTGCTACCCATCCCTGTCCTGCACCAACCTGTTTAATTTAGTTAGAAGTGTTAGAGAAAGAAGAGAAGCAGTTACAAAAGAAATGGGCAATTGAATGAAGTTAAAAGAAGTGGTTATATTGCAATGTGGAAGAATTTTATTGGAGAAAAGTTGATAAAAAAATAATAAATAAGTGAATTAAGCATTTTTGGAAGGAAGATAGATTAGTTGCTCCTCTCCTATGGAAAAGAGCAGTGTGCTATCCAGCCTGCGGTTATTCAAATGACTCCCTATTCTGAAAACAAGCAACGTAGCAGCTCTGAAGGAGGTATAAACCCTGTCAAACTTTCTGGAGTTTTTGTACCCTTGTTTGTTCGTCTTAAAAACCAGCAACACTTTAGACCCACATTGTAAAAAAGACTATTCTTTTTGAACTGTACTTGCATTGAACTGTACTTGCACAGTTTTAAAACTTATTGTATGTCTGAATCTCACACTGATCAAACATTTTCAGACACCACGCCAAATGATACAGGGAGGATGGATATGGGTAAACACCTTCCGATGTTTTGCCTTGTGTCATGCAAAGGTGGACCTCTTCCCAACCCNGATGGTTCATCAAGGGCTTCTCGGGTGATTGGAAGGGCTATATAAGAAAATATGTAGTATCTTGAGCTGAAACACCTTCCGATGTTTTGCCTTGTGTCATGCAAAGGTGGACCTCTTCCCAACCCACAGAAGGCAGGGGAGGGTCCAAATTGCAGATGCTTAGTACTAGGGGTGGTCCCAGTGAAGTCACATGATCACATTGCATTTGTTCCTTCAGTTTTTGATCCATCTACAGTCATTTATATTCCCTTTGTTGGTGAAATTTTTGGTTGATGCCTGTAAACTGTGGGCAAATATTTGTGATGATCATTGTCCGGTAACGCTGTTTTGGTGCAGTTTCGAGGGGGAAAGAGACATGTTCCAGTTGCAGAGACACAACACTACAACTTCTTCTTGATTTGGTACAGTGCAAGGAGAGGAAGGCATCCTAGAGGGATGATGATCCTTGCTGTAGTCTTGTCCGGTTTTGCAATTATTCTTCTTTTTGTTCCCGGTGAGTAAAAGATTTCTATGACAAGTTCAAATATTATTTTGTGACTACGATTTATATGCCTCTGTTATATTATATAAACAAAAAATACAAAAGTGCTTAAGAAAATGTTACCAAAAGGTGGTTTTGTCTTCCTATGTCAACTGCAATTGAATTTTGATTCCTACCAACTTTGTTGCTAGTTTCTTCCACTCTCTTTCCTCCTCGAGATAATACTTTTAGGTCTCAAGCACAATGCCGATAAAACACACTGTTATACTCTTGTCATAGTGAAGTATAGGAGATACTATTCCAAGAGTAGTCAATCCAATGCAGTGGTGCATAAGCCCACCATTTTTGTTTGCTATTCAATCCAATGCAGTTTCTCTCTCTCTCTCGACTCCTAATATCTTCCTTGTATGATGACTTTTGCGAGTAGTAAATTAGATAGCAATCATTTTCTCTCCTCCTCCACTTCTATAGCCATTTTCCTAAATTCCATTTAAGTTGTAATTTTCCAATGAACATTATTTGGTCTTCTGCAACACACAACATCTCTCCTTCAACAAGGACCCAACTTTCTTTTCTCAAAGGGTTCTCTTGGATTATTTGTATAAACCCACTGATTAAACAAGCTTGACCTACCAATGCGGTTCTGATTCAAATTCATAAAACTAAAATCCTACCCGGTACCAAATTGTATGAGAATCCTTTGAGAGAAAAAACAGTGGTAAGTAAAAATCATACAAATTAAGAGAAAAAGAGGTAAACATGTGAAAAATGAAAGTAAAGAAAAAGACATTCTGTCCTTGGAGAATTTAATAAAAACCATCACAATTGCATTTACATCAGTCTCTCGAAGATCAAACCATTACCCCTCTACCCAAAAGGCAAATAGACAAAACTTGGCACCTTCAATCAATCAAGTGTAGGCCCACTCTGCAGAAAGGGCCGGGCCCGTCAGGTATCTCTTGTGGCTATTCTACCCATTGGGCCCTGTGGGCCACTCTCTCCGCCCATTACCCAACTATGATCTAAACATCATGCGGAAGAAAATTACTAGTTTATTAGAATCTAGCATTCTCAAAGCCGTGCAAATCGCCGACTCTATTCAACGACTTCTTTGNTTGAGAGAAAAAACAGTGATAAGTAAAAATCATACAAATTAAGAGAAAAGGAGGTAAACATGTGAAAAATGAAAGTAAAGAAAAAGACATTCTGTCCTTGGAGAAATTAATAAAAACCATCACAATTGCATTTACATCAGTCTCTCGAAGATCAAACCATTACCTGTCTACCCAAAAGGCAAATAGACAAAACTTGGCACCTTCAATCAATCAAGTGTAGGCCCACTCTGCAGAAAGGGCCGGGCCGTCAGGTATCTCTTGTGGCTATTCTACCCATTGGGCCCTGTGGGCCACTCTCTNAATCAAGTGTAGGCCCACTCTGCAGAAAGGGCCGGGCCGTCAGGTATCTCTTGTGGCTATTCTACCCATTGGGCCCTGTGGGCCACTCTCTCCGCCCATTACCCAACTATGATCTAAACATCATGCGGAAGAAAATTACTAGTTTATTAGAATCTAGCATTCTCAAAGCCGTGCAAATCGCCGACTCTATTCAACGACTTCTTTGTCATCGCCACCTTAGCCAGCTTCTCAGCTGCTCTCCAAGCCGAAGTCGGTGTAAGCGGCTCTCCATTCTCATCAAGAAACACACCCACTTCTCTATCATTCACTCTCCGCCGTTGGATCATCTGTTGCTGCTCTATCTGCTGTTGATATTGTCTCCTCCATTGCAGCTCTTCCAGCTCGGCTTCCAAGCCGCGAATGTAGTCATTAGCCGATATCGAACTAGACTGAATCAACAAAGCTCTAGTCGAGGACAACAAATGATGCGCACTAGAAAACTCATTGTGCTCAATTAATCGCCGAGACTCGGCTATTGCTCGCGTAGTGATGAAGAGATTTCTCAGCCGTTCGATATTAGGCATTGAAGATCTAACGGCTTGTGGCTTCGGGACAGGCAAGGCCTGTTCTCTACTGTAGATTAACTCTTGGGTCGCTGGGTCTCTATAGGAGCATTTAACGGACAACACGTGGTGGGACCCAATAATCGACGTGGGGACCTTCAATTCCACCAGTAATTCTCTTTCCTCCTCGGCGTAGAGGTCACCAAGCCGAACACTATCTGAGCCGAGCACTGTGGGCCGTCCATTGCAAGAATAAACGGCTGCGATTTCAGCTGGGTCTGAGCCAGAGGAAAAACCCAGCTGAATACGTAAATCTTGAACCACCACGCTCAGTAACCCACCAACACATTTAGCAAAAGCATCCTCGGCCGGCTCATAGCTATAGCCAGCCGTATGTACCGGAATTTCGATGTGAGCGAATCGAGTGGATGACACATGGGTTGATCTTTGACGTTGATTTATGTTATCTGAGTGCACCTCCCTCTCATCTTGACCGCCGGATAAGAGAATGATGCTGGCAACTGGGTTTCTCTCTCTTCGATCTTCAAGTACTTTAGTGGCTTTTCTTAGAG